CTGAAGAGTTTGTTTGTTTGAACGCTATATACGTTATATAGATTTAAATTAATTGAAAATACGAACTGCTTTATGTCGATATGTTGTATATTCGGTAATGCATGCGTTGTTACAACAAGAAGTTAAGATAGAAAAAATGACAGAGATAAAAAATTAAATTTTGTATTAATTTAAATTCAACTTCGATTTGAACCTTCGTGGAGGCTTGAAGAGTTTCCTACAAAGGTGGCGTCACAAGACTAAATGCTCAAAATTTAAGCTGTCCTGAAATAGAGAAAGAGCGAGAAAATGCTCGCATCCACATGGATATTGTACTTAATGCTGAGACACTCAACGACAGATGGGCTGTGAACGTAGCGTCATAAAAATAATACAAAAACCGAAAATCTGTTTTACCCTTAACTCAATTCCAATCTCACGTAAATATACAAACAAGCTTCTTCTAGTATTCCATCTTTGCTTACATTTTTTGTATTGTCGAGTTTATTATAACGAATGTTCTTGTGACGAATTTATTACGACGAATGTACGAAAATTTGCACAATATTCTTACGCCGGTAAGAGTAACGCCATCTATCGCCGAATAATCGAACGAAAGATCTAGCAGCATCTAGAACGCCCGAGAAGTACAACGCCATCTATTACCAGATAGCAGAAACACACAATACTCGATTTTTGTGGAATATTCTCGACGATTCTAGGGATTTCGTCTTGACTATAAAAGCGTTGCAGAGATGGTACGCAGTCAGTCAGTAATCGGAACTACTCGAAGCGAAGCAGCGAATGCATCACCTGAAGCGAAGCGGAAGAAGCGAATTGAGAATTTTAAAGTTTTTGTGAAGTGTTTTAAGTCTTCTATGTGTTGAATACAGTGTTAACTTGTAACTCGGTAGAATTTTATTTATCTTGGACCCCAGCGCGTAACAATATTATGATTTTAATATTTATTGGTAATCAAATATTTTTTATTGCTCTAGAATATTTCGACCCTGAATGCCACCACCGCGATTGCTTCGTGGCAGAAATATTAGGTAACAATCTTTTTTTTTATTGCTTAGATTATTGGATGAAATTAGGAAAGCGGATCCTGGCACTAGACCGGTAAAACGCTAGGAAAAAGAAGAGTTAGTGTTGTTTAGTGGTTTTCGGAGCCCATAGACATCAACAGTGTAAATGCCGCCACCCAATTTGAGACACGATTCCTAAGTCTCAGTTTTATAATACAACGTCTGGCCCAGCAGCAGGTACCTACATTCCTGCCTGCTGTAGGTATGTAGATAGTTGGTAGGAATGTAAGCATTTCCTTCTTTTAGTCCAGGGTTTTTGCCAGAGTGGTCATGGCTATACTGGAGCTGTTCACTATGTCTCCGTCGGTGATCTCATTATCGGACGTTGTGACAGTTTTATCCATGCATCTTCATCGAAATGTAGGTATTTTAACGTAAAACAAACTTTGACTCTGTGGGTCGTACGAAATGCCAATATTAGAAGAACCCTTCAAACACTTGACTTCCACTTAAAGGCGCATCAATCCCACTCGAAGCGTATTCAATCTTTTCAACAGAATCTTTTGTTGAATCAGAGGATTTTCGTCTGATAATACATGTCTTTGAGCCGTGCCAAATGTGAGGGCGCCATTTTGAGTCTACGAGGTGTCTGCTATTGGAGCTTTTTTTTAAAGCTTATATTGGTGGACGAGTTCACAGCCCACCTGGTGTTAAGTGGTTACTGGAGCCCATGGACATCTATAACGCAAATGCGCCACCCACCTTGAGATATAAGTTCTAAGATCTCAGTATAGTTACAACGGCTGCCCCACCCTTCAAACTGAAACGCATTACTGCTTCACGGCAGAAATAGGCAGGGCGGTGGTACAACTGGGATGAAATTAAATGAAATGAGATGAGATGAAATATAATCTCAGTAAAATGGTGGTCATTTACTAAGATTTTTTCAGTGGACTTTGTGGAGGATCCCGAGGAGTTACGTCCAGCGGCTTTGTTTCATTTTCCCACATTTGTGCACTTTCACAGATATTAAACAGTTAATAAACCACCGTTATTACACATTTAAACCTGAAGAAACATTAAATAGACAAAATAAAACAAATCACAAACTTCACTCCTCGCGTTCCCGCCAAAAAGTCACACCGTTGTTTATTATATTTAATATGAATCTAACCCCAAAAATTTAATGGCACGATATTTATAGTTTAATATTGGGATATCTGGAATTGGAAGGGTTTTTCCCATTAGCACCGATTTTTAATACAAAAAATAATGTTTTTATTACCTTTTCCTAGAACAATTCCTCTTGTCTTGTTGAATTCTGTAATTTTAATATAAGAAATTAATTCTAGAATATACATTTATAAAAAAGAGCCTGACGTTTCTCTGGGGACACTAGAAGATGTTTTCTGAAAGTAATAGCGAAATAATATTAATTTAATAATAAGGTACAACCTTGAGATGTAAGTCTCTCAGTTGAATAATTTCACTATCTCCGTTGACGTTGTTCAAAACATGTTTCAAGATGGAAATATCGAAATTCCAGGGAAACCCCGAACCAATAAACAGCACCTGCCACGTGCTGTTTATCGGTTTTTTAATTATCTCTGTAAATATACAGAATTTACCCAATACTAAATTATAACAAGTAAGACCGATGATAATTAAGAATGACCTCAATCGTGTTATCTCGCGTTTACTAATTAAAAATAGAGATGCAGTCATAATTAAAATTGCTGTAGTTTTTATCATGCCTTTGACTGGCGGAAAACAAAAACGAGACTATACGATAGACAAGTGCATGGCACATCTGATGTTAAGCGACTATTGTTAAACACATTTTCGTCAGAATTAGTAAAACAGCTCGACAATCTTTCAAACTGGAACATTCGATAGCATCACGATAGAAATAGGAAAGACGGTGGAACCATCTATGAGAATCTGCAGTATGCCCTACCATTAGCTGTTCAAATAATGAAAAACTTTAAAATATTGTTGGTAGACGTATTGTACTTTCGCACGGATTAATGATATTTCCTTCTCGGTGGTGTTCTGTGTATTTCCGTCGCGAATACTCATCTAGAATGGGACATTCACTATAAAATATACTCATCATCATCATCAGCCTTTATCTGCCCACTGCTGAACTGTCTTCCACAATGCCTTCCACATAATGCGGTCCTCCGCCCTCCACATCCAACGACTTCCCGCCGTGCGCACCAAGTCGTCGGTCCATCTGGTTGGAGGACGCCCCACGCTCCTAGTACCATAAAATATACTGAATCTTCCTAGTTATTAGACGAACAGTCTGCTAATCTAGAAGCGCCAATCAATAAAGGTCTTTAAACATTTTTTTAAATAAAATATTGAAGAGTAAGTAGTTTTTCAACTACTAGTTTAATAATTCGCAATTAAAGAAGGATTAAACCAAGCGTAGAAGTCTGCTAATATAATTAATTAGGTTTTGAAGTTCTCGCGATTTCATTCAGTGGTTTTATTAAAGTCTAAAGCACACTACAGTTGTTTTAATAAAGTCAATTCAGTCAAGTACACTAAACATTAAACGACCTAGTTATTATATTTGAGCTTTACTGATGGTAGGACGTCTTGTTAGTCCGTATGGGTAGGTACAACCACCCTACCTATTTCTGCCGTAAAGCAGTAAGGCATTTCGGTTTGAAGGATGGAGCAGCCGTTTTGCTGTGAAACTGAGGCTTAGAACTCATGCCTGAAGGTAGGTGACCGAAGTAACTTAATGTCTATCTCCAGTAACTACTTAAGAACAGACGGGTCGTGTACCTCAATCATCTTAGCAATAAATAAGTAAATAAAATATTTTTTGTACGTTCCATCTTGACATCTCAATACTAATGCTTCTCGGCAGAAGTAAGCAGGATCTTAGTGATGACTATTTGGACGCTCCATCGCTTGTTTAAGTAATGTTGTAAGGTAGGCGGAATTAGCGAAGGAAAAGTGACGGAGAAGAAGATATTAGATTAGAAGATATTTTGGATCTTTTTTGCCACGTACCATCCGGCTATGGAATGAGCTCCCCTCCACGGTGTTTCCCGAGCGCTATGACATGTCCTTCTTCAAACGAGGCTTGTGGAGAGTATTAAGCGGTAGGCAGCGGCTTGGCTCTGCTCACGTGGAAGCAAAGTGCATCGAGTGATCAACACTTTAAACTAGACACGACCTGCAGCAATGAAGAGACCGACTCAGAAGAAGAAGAAGAAGTCATGTATGTACATCTATTTGGAAAATCTCTGAGTATTTTTGAGTTCTTCTGAGTATAGAAACTTTATTCGAGTGGTCAAATCGTTACAAATGAAAAACGCGTTTGTCTGGTTATTATAGTAAAAAATAATAGTTTAAAAAAACTAAAGAAATACGCTTTTATAGAAAATCCCACAAAAAAATTGAAAATAAATTTTAATAAATTAGAATTAAAAATAGTCTAAGAAAAAATAATTTTATTGTAAAAAAATTAGGATTTTTTGGATTATTATTATAGGATTTGAATTATTTGAATTTTCTATAAAGGAGTACTTTTTGTTTTTTTTTAAACGATTATTTATTTTTCATTTTTATAGTTGAATTTCAATTTTTTCAATTTCGGTCCTTAATAAGTATGCCAAATTTCGAGTTAATCCGACGTTTTGAAGGGGGTCAAAATCATGTTCAAAGATTCAGTTATATACTAACATACATACGTCTGAAGCTAATAAAAGCGTATTAAAATACATTATATGATATGTTATGTTTCGAAAAAGTATATGAGCGGTGCCTTGTGTTTAGCTTGTAACTTGCGGTAGCGACGGCCCGAATATTCACAAATAACTTCGCCTTTATTTACTAAACAGTCACCGTTAATCGCGTTCAGTACTCTGTACGATATATATACGTACAATCTGTAGTGTCGGTAGTACGTACATGTACTAGGTATTAGGTGCGTTCAGTATCACTGAGTTGCGGTCAGCTATGAATTTCAGTCCTTCAGTCTGCCGCGAACAGGCGATGAGACGCACGCCTGTTAAGGAATTTTACAACGAATGTATAAAACTTCGCGCTGTGAAATGTGTGTCTGAATTTCTTGCGATTTGTGCAGTGGCTTTTGTTCTGTGTGTGTGTGTGTGTGTGTGTTTTTTATTTGAAAAAAGGTTTAAAAAATTCGTGATGTCATTTTGAAAAACGTTTCCTATTAAAAGGTTTGCTTTTTATTTATTAATGTTTTAATTTTAATTCGCGTTATTTTTTTTATTTTTCTATTTTTCTAATTTATTTATATCACTTCTTTTCTAACTAATAAAAGCGGAGGAAGCCAAGGCTCGTCAATACACGGTTCATAGTTAAATAAAACAGATATAAGTCACAACGTGTTGGAGCCCATAGATATGACATAGTCAATAGCGCTGCCCACCGTGAGGCATCAGACTCGATTACATTGGACTTCATTGGAGGAACAGCTTCTCGCTCTCAAATCGAAATGAAGCATTGTGTCGTGATACCAAAGTCAGGATTTTAGGGAACATCGGAGTGATTGTGGACCGCTCTAGCTCGCTGCTGGCAGCCCCATTCTATATTTTCTTGTCAATGGTGTGGGCTTATGTGACGAATGACAAATAACACTTGATGACTAACTGCTAACGTAAGCTATGAAAAGAGATTCGAGTAAGTATCGGAGTGTAGTTTTTAAAAACACGAATATTTTCGACGAGTTTCGTGTTTAAGCCCATTGTTTGTCTAGCAACGTGTTATCAATTTCTCATTATATTTAATAATCATGAATGTAAATAAATATATGTAATTTAAAAAGAAGCGGTAGACAGCGGCATTGAAGTACGCTCACCAGCTAATGGGTTGTATGTTGGTTTGTCTATCAAGGACATAAAAAATATTAATTTTAAGTTCTATTCGAGGTATAAAGAAAATAAAACTGGAGGTTTCGCAACAACCCACGGTCGTTCGGTAACGTGCGAACTTATTGTGGTACACGTCATTCACGGTTGTTTGAATAAGAGCCAGTGTATTGCGCAAACGAACGCTCTGAGATCGTGGTCAATGAATGATAAAAAATATGTTATTTTTTTGTACGTTATTACAAAGTTCAAAGTTACGTCGTACACTGTGTGCATTACTAATAAAAATCTTACGTTACGGACGTTTTTTCCTGGTTAGGGTACCCCTCCGCATCGTCCCGTTAGGAACTACGTTCCAAAAGTCGTTTTTATTAATTTAAAAGATGAGGTGGATTGCGTACCAAACGGGAGCGCCGTGTACGATTGTAACGGTGATACTCAACCATATAGGCCTTTGAAATGCTCTGACAGTAATTATATATAGTTTTATTATAGTTGTATGATATTAACAGTGTTTTTATTATCTTTTCCTCGCACAAATCGGTACTTGACACGTCGAGCGTCGGTGTTGTGGTGGTTTTCCAGTTTGTAGAAGGAAGTATCGGTGCGCACCAAGACTTCGCTGTAGAGTTGCAGGCTCGGAAACCCGAATGGCCTCCTAACTGTTTCGTTTACCCTCCTCTTACCCTAATCGGTGCCATCTAGGCGGGCTTTGGATAGCCTTCCGACCAAGAGGGCTGGTGGTCGTGGCGCCGACGACCGCCGGTCCGGCACCCCGAGTGGAAGGGTGACGGGAGAGATGTGCTCCGCACTAAATGCTTCACTTTCCCTCCTTTGTCTTTTCATGGGTTCCGTCTCAAGCGAGGTTTGGATGTAGGTTGTTGAACGACAGGAGGTTTTAGTCAGTTCGACTCCGACATGCCATGCCCTCCATCCCCAGTGGAGGGGGAAAGTCCGGCGATTTCCTCATAACCAAAAAAAAAGGATAGGACATGACGCAATTATACGTCTGGTTGTAGTGTTGACCGCGGTAACCCCCCTACCTCATCCGGGTTCTGACCTCGGAGGAGATCGGACGTCGGGTGTAAGAGTGCAGGGGAGTCGTTTAGTGGGTGGGCCCTAAAATCCTTCGGCCCGCGGTCTGCTCACAACACCATGCAGATCGTTGAGTCTCACATACCCCGCCCGCCCCTTTTGCGCGGGGACTTCGTTGGAGGTTCGGCGCTCTAACCGAAAAAAAAAAAAAAAAACGAAATTATAGGGATTAGGTTTTTCACACTTAGTTGGCTAACTAAGCCTGTCCAGCTTTGCCCCTGGCCATTAGCTTGCATCATCAGCAACGGCGAGCATTTAACACCAGGAAGGGTGTCTCAAACACCATTCAAGGCAACCCAAAACGGTTTAATCTAACAATACTAACAAGCCTCACTCTGAGAGTTGGTGGTAATTGAGGTCATACATTTATATTCCTCTCAACGATATTGCTAACAAATCAGAAAAACATAGCTCTTTCGTTGAAGTGAGTACAAACCACGGTTGAATGTATTCGCGAAACTGAGTACAACATATCGATTCGCATTGATATCGTATCAGAATGATGTGATAACCCGAACCGATGATAAACCTCCGTAATGGACTCCCTTCTTACGACTCATAGACTAGAACGGAAACATAGAAAAGACCATAATAATTATAACATAATAAATGACAAGAAATTGAATCTAATAAAAGTGCAATGATTTGTTGTTGCCTTTTTTTTTTTTATTGCTTAGATGTGTGGACGAGCTCACAGCCCACCTGGTGTTAAGTGGTTACTGGAGCCCATAGACATCTACAACGTAAATGCGCCACACACCTTGAGATATAGTTCTAAGGTCTCAGTATAGTCACAACGGCTGCCCCACCCTTCAAACCGAAACGCATCACTGCTTCACGGCAGAAACAGGCGGGGCGGTGGTACCTACCCGTGCGGACTCACAAGAGGTCCTACCACCAGTAATTACGCAAATTATAATTTTGCGGGTTTCATTTTTATTTCACGATGTTATTCCTTCACCGTGGAAGTCAATCATGAACATTTGTTGAGTACGTATTTCATTAGAAAAATTGGTACCCGCGAGCGAGATTCGAACACCGGTGCATCGCTCGATACGAATACACCGGACGTCTTATCCTTTAAATTAGCAAACTACGAAATGAATGCGTTTCGGTTTGAAGGATGGGGCAGCCGTTGTAACTATACTGAGACCTTAGAACTTGTATCTCAAGGTGAGCGGCGGTATTTACGTTGTAGATGTCTATGGGCTCCAGTAACCACTTAACACCAGGTGGGCCGTGAGCTCATCGACACATCTAAGCAATAAATAAAAAACAGAAAAGAAAAATAGAAACGTTCTGATAACTTTATTAGGTGGCATTAAAACAGCGGTATTTTCCCGTATAATATTAGAATGATCTCGAATTTTTTTTTTTGTCCGATGGATGTCCCCTCGGGGGAAATCGATTGCTAGCAAGTAGTTGATACTATTGTATTATACTATTATTAAGGTACTTTTTTATTTTTATTTTATTCCTACCTATGCTAATAGCCTTGAGAGGCTATTTTAGCTTCTCCTTGACGTGTAGGCGAGCTCACGGGTCTCAGACCGGAGTGTTCCTACCACTGGCTTCAGCAAGGGCAGTGCTTCGCAGAATCTACCACCGGATCAGAAACGCGACCCACTGAGAAGATTCGGCGAGAAACTCAGTGGGCTGTTTATTATGATACTATGTATTCTGTCCATTATGATATCATGTGTTATATGAAGGATGGAATACAGCCGACTTAGTTATGAGTATTTGGCGTCACCCATTGATATGTCTTGTCGCTCACACGTCACGAATGCTTTTCAGCCTCCAGCTGAAGCCTCCTTCCAGCTTTTATATTCGCTAGAAATCTATATATTAATACGTGAAGCAAAAAGTTTGTATCAATTTTTACGAAAATTGCGCGGACGGAGGAGTATGAAATTTTCCACACTTATAGAGAATATAGAGAAGAAGTGCACAATGCTAACTTATTTTTTTAAATAATGCATAAAATATACATTAAATAAATAAAGAAAACATTACATACACTACCATGTATTTGACACACACGCATGCATGCATACTATCTGTTTATAAATTGTCAAACTTTTCTTATTGCATATAGTCTGTGGGCAAATAGAGAATAGAGTAACATTGTTTGTCTTTATTAACGTTTGCCTAAAGTGTAGTCTTGGCGAAATCTGTGATTACAGAAGTATAATAAATAGCCTGACAATAGAATCATAATGGTGTACAAACTTATAATTTCAATTAATTATAATTACTACTGTTTAAGACGTCCCACTTTGAAGTAGGAGCGTACGGCCATTTCTTTCCACTCATAAGAAAGGGACACGGTCAAATTGCTACCATAATTAAACCATAAATTATGTAATAGTTGATTTACTGTTCCAACTAGGTTTTTCTGAAAATGATCATCTCTTTTATGGCTTCATGGTATACTTATTACTATTCAATAAAACGTTGTATGAACATAATAGTCTATGTGCTTTTTCCAGTAAAATCCAATAAATACAACTTAACAAGTAACAAATACTACTGGTGGCAGGACGTCTTATGAGTCCCCGCGGATACTTCTCACCACCCTTCCTATTTCTGTCGTGAAGCTATAATGCGTTTCGGCTTGAAGGGTGCGGCAGCCGTTTATATGTATTTATTTATTAAGCGAGATTGTTTTAAATGTTAAATTAAGCGCCTTAACAGATCGTTTTATAACAAAAGCATATCTTCTAATATATAAAATTCTCGTGTCACAATGTTCGTTCTCATACTCCTCCGAAACCGCTTGACCGATTCTCATGAAATTTTTTATGCATATTCAGTAAGCCTGAGAATCGGCTACTATCTATTTTTCATACCCCTAAGTGATTAGGGTTGTCCACCCCTAACATATTTTTTTTTTATTTGGACTTTTTTTTTTGTTATAATGAGGTATTATGTGGTTGAATGAGGTTTTGTTATTTTTATTATATATTCCCTCATCGTTCACAGCACTACATGCCTCTTTCACTCATTTACCACATCCTTACACACTTACAATAAGTTAGTTTTTTTTTCTACACTAGAAATTCCCTAGAAATCTTATATATGGCAAAACAATGTTTGCCGGGTCAGCTAGTTATTATATACAATAATAGAGGACGCATATTCTTGATGGTGCTCTTATTATAGTTAAAAACATTCATTCAGGATGTGAATAATATTGACATTAACCACTAACAATAGACCGAGTTGAATCTATACTAAATGTTGTTTCAGGC